CAGTTGTACAACTGCTATGTTGAAAGAGCACCCGGAACAAAAAACAAAAAACAAAAAACAAAAAACAAGCCTGTAAATGGCTGATGACTTTAAATAGGGCTCTGTGTAAATTATGCCCATTCTAACAAAGGCATATGTCCCTCAGCTTGCAGCACGGGACTTGAGACTGATGTTGAATGGATTGAAACAAACCTGGGACCCTTTTCTCAATACACAACTTACTCTGACCTCAAAGCCTTCAACCTCTCAGATGTATGTTCAATTTAATAGGTTGTAAAATCATCCTTTAGTTCATAAATACTGAGAAATGTATTTCTTTCTTTCTCCTCTAACATGTTTTTGTAGGTGATCATCCTTGATTCCTTTTCTCCAACCCAACTAGCTACCTTCCTCCTTGAACCAAACATCCTATCCAATGAAAATGTTGTAATAATGATTTTCAGAAGACTTGTGTTTTCAGCATCTATGGCAAACATTGAGTCATTCTTTGATACATTTGTTCATGGTCCAGCTGAAGTAAGTTTTCATCAGAAAGTAATCTTATGAAGTTGATGTCAGAAGGAAGGACAGTAAATTCAATTTTTTTTTCTTTCCTTTCAACAAAACCAGACAACACTCAGTCCAAGAATTCGTGACACCATCCTGAATCTTACTTTAACAGTTCTTGGCCCAAAACTTTCTATGTTGAATGAGGAGGAATTGAAGTTATGGTTCCAGGTTTATCTTCCTCTCTTCCTGCCAAGTGTTGACTCACGATCATTTGAAATTATCCCCAGAAATATTACCTGCAGCTCTTATCAGGAGATGTGAGTAAATTTTTTTGTTCTTTTATCTATGTAAAAAAAATAAAAATCAAATGTCCCAACTGAAACATGATTAAATCCCTGGATTGTTGTTCTCTCAGTCTCAAAGGGTTCAACAACATTTTCAGTCAACTTTCAGAAGGACAAGTTCAGCTGGTTTTCATGTTTGCATTGGACTATCTCAGGGGACAGTTCCACAGAGGTAGCTTCTGCTTACTAGAAATGTATATGTCTATATGAGCACATATACGTATTGTTGTTTGTGTGATTGAGAATTGGTATATTCATACATAGTTAACTGCTTTAGAATTGTAGTAGTCTAATGTTATGTTTAGGTTTAATGTGACCTGTTCAATAAAAATCTTTCTTACTTTATTTCTAGGCATCGCCTGTGTTACATCTGATAACAGGCGTTGGCTAGAAGACAACTTTGGCTATTTCAGATTTCAAGCCTCCTTCATGGATTTTTTGTCTTTAAAGAATGATTTCAGAGGAGTAAGTTTTACACTGCTATGCCTGAATAAAATGTACAAACTGTCTTAATAAATTATATTTGGTCATGACATGACCAAATATAATTTAACTGTTTACTTTAGATTCTGTGTTTATTTGCATCAGTTTTTTATTTTCTTAGTTAGGCACTAGTGGCCTTTATCTAGCAGTTAGTCATTAATATCCTACTGACAAACTAGATTTTGTTACAAAGTTTGCAAAACAATATGATTAAAGGATTGCAATAATATACATTAAGGTCAAGTCTGAATACTAGATTTGGAAAGCTTTTATGTAGTTCTGAGTTTGTCATTCTATTTTTTTTTTACACAAATAAATCAGAACCTGGGAGATGAAGTCAAGAAACTGTAGGGTTAGGTTAAAGTGTCACTTGTCTTTTCTTAGGTGGAAGTTGTGGATGTTCTCACGATCAGTCAGCTGAGCCAGCTTGCAACAATTCCCTCACAGCTAAACGGGATGCAAGACGTGAGAAAGGTCCTGGGAGCAATCCAGACAGCTGATTTTGGTGCTTTCTTTGACACAGTCTCACCAGTGATTGAGGTAAATGTGTACAATTTTCTTCATAGAACACACGGGACAAAGGACGTTCAAAATGGGTTTTTCACTTACTAACACATGTCCAAACTGCATGGACACCTGTTGACCATCTATAGACATGCCACTGACTGCATGTCTATGGCTTTTTGCTATAAGTATGTTGTATGTATGGGCACCATGCAGTGCACACCACACCCACTACTACGAAATGACTGCACTTTGAACACATCTGCATTCAAAGCCACTTGGGAGGTTAACAATATGTTACTGAGATCTTGTTCGAGGTAATTTGAAGATATTGAACAAGTTTAGAAATAGTGTGAGGATTTGAGTTTTTCTGTGTATTCATTTGGGTTTCTGTGTTCAGTTGAGTCTCTGTGTTGTCCTGTCTACCCCTTGATTGCTCACAGCTGTATCTTGTTTCCCCTGATTACCTCCTTGTGTATTTAGTCCACCTGTGTTCCTTGTTGGGTCCTTGTCTTGTCCACCGTCTTGTTGCCTGTTTCTGTCATATTGACACCGGTTGCTACCAGAGATTAGCTCCTGGCTTTTGTTCACTCTGTGCTGCCTGGATTCTTGTGTTTTCATCATTAAATCATTATTTTCTCAGCATAACCTGGGTCTACTGTGTCTGCCTCACCACTCAGCTACCGCATTTCATGACACAGACAGCTTAAGTTTAGCAGATTGGGGATAAAGTTATTTTGTGAGTAAAGAGAAAGGATAGCAGCTCTATAGAGATAGTATCGCAGAGATGGATCATAGGAAGGAGGAAATCTTGGGTCTGTGTGACAGGAGCATGCTGTTGATAATTTGTGTTTGAACAAACATCCGTTTCTAAACTCACCCACAGGTCCAGTCTGCCAACTACACACTAGAGGTAAAATCCTCCTTCCTCCAGACAGTTATGGAAAGAGGAGTGCTGTCCTTCCCTGCTGTTAGTGATGAAGAGTTCCTGCAGTGGATGAGGGTGCGGCTGAGGCCTTTTTTGGTCAATATTTCACCTAGTCTGGTAGAACGACTTTTCAGCATTGGGACAAACAGGAGCTGCAACAGCAGCCAAGAGATGTAAGTTATTCAGTGAAGTACTAGGATCACAGAAAACTGACAAGTATTCCGACATAACTTCTACTTGTAATAATGTCGTGTTTCATTAGATTTCCATCTAATCTTGAAAATGATAGAGAATTGTTGCTTTTTTAGGATTACAGTGCTTGACAAGATACAAATGACGCTTAGCACTGAAACCAAACAACAGATCTACAACAATATAGTCCTCTTCTTTCAAGGTTTGTTTGAAAAACATGCCGATGCTGTAAATCTCCTAAAGAGCTGCTTGTACACATCTATATGTTTCATAGTAGCTCATATTTTCACCCATAACAATACATTTTCCTTTGTAAAAACAAAAGGCCCGGCATGGGTGAAGTGTTATAAAGGTGGAAGCTTCTACCTCTTCCTGAAAAGCAACTTCCTCAACTTTGGTTTTCCTGATGTGTCAACATTCATCTCTCTTCTGCCACCAACACGCAAGTCAGAGGTGAAAACATAATGACAAGAGAGTTTATCTCAGTGAAACTTGCCAATATAGCTGAATATCTAACCAACCTTTTGATTTCAATAATTTGGTGACAACTTTGCTTGAATCTCTCCAGCTCCTAAATACCATCAGCACCTCAGAAATGCGTCAGTTCCTCAGCCAGCCTGATGTCACCCAGAACAATTCAAACATCTGTGCCATCTTTAACAACTACAACAAAACCTCTCTGTTCCTACAAACTGTATGTCCCCCAATTCAGACAAGCATGTTTGCAATCACATGTAAGTGGCAATCTAGCTGTGTTCTCTTCATTCTCCCATTGATTGATTGTGCAACACTTGCAGGAGGACGTCCCAGATGATGTGAGGAGGATCATCCTTCCCTGTGTTTGGCCTTTGGCTCTGAGCAGCAACAGAAGATCTGAGGTTGATCTGTGGTTTAACGTACGTTTGAGGAACTATCTGAGGTTCCTCACCAAGGAACTTCTGAACTCCACTGAGGTGCAAAACGCCTCGTGTCTCTCCTTCCAGAAACTGTGAGTTGGTTTCTCATTTCATCTCATGATTGAATGTGTAGGTTTCATCAAACTTAGGTTCTATTATTTTCTTTTTAACAGGGTGTATATTATGGGGAAAACGTTCACATACAACAGTTCAGAATTTGGACGGAAAGATGTATACACCGTCATCAGGAGCTACCTGACAGCTGGTAAGAGTCTAGATCCTATTATTTGCTCTTTATGCCTTAAAAACTAACCAGTGGTGATTGGATGATTGTTACCAAAGACACCTTTCTATTCTGAGCTGAAATATCAGTGATGCAGGTTTACATCATCATGTTTTAGATCAATAGATTACATATTTCTATGACCGTACTCTGCTATGTTGCTGTCCTCAGGCTCTGGAGCCAGATGCTACAATCCCAGCGATCCAGAGCTGAATTCTACCTCCTGGTTTGTCAGCTACATCGGCAGCTTTGTTACATTTATNCCAGTTCTGGAACAATGATGCCTGTAGTTACAACTACTAGTGGGATGTCAACAACTAGTGCAGCCACAGGAAGTGAGACTCAGTCCGCTCTTAAAATCAGTGCTACCACAACAACAAAGCAAACTTTAACCAGTCCAGAACTATCAAACACTGCAACCAGTCCTGTTACCTCAGAGCCACATACTGATGGAGGCACTACAATTCTGGTAAGAATTTGAACCTCAATACAGGATATAATTTTGTCTCTTCTATTTTTGTGTTTGCCTGTTGTGACATTCTAACATCCCAGCCTTTTAATGATCTGCTTCTGAGCTTTCTCTTCTCCTGGGCACTTTTACATCTCATTCTGAGTTTAAAAAAAAGACTTTAGCTCCAGAGGGGATTCCAAATTTTTCACCAGCTGTAGTTTTCTTTTGCAAAGATGTACAACTTGCTCTGGGTTTTCTAACCTCATCCTTGCAGATTTAATACCTTCCACTTTTTATTCTTCAACACCAACTTATACATAATCTACATCTACAAGAAGAAAAACAAACTTTTAGCACGTAAATCTCAGGAATTGTAAAATGTATGATGTTAAAGTTTTTAATCTGTTTTCTAAAAATTTATTGTAAAAAGAAGTAAAAACATCTCTGGCTGTACCATCCTGATATTCACTAAACCAATTTGTTCACACCTCTTTTTCCTTCTAAAACTGAATTTCCCCACAGACCCAGTCTGCCAACCACACACAGAACATGACATTGGCCTTTCTTGAGGCTGTGCTAGATAAAGATTTCTCCCCATCAGCTGTTAGTGATGAAGAGTTCCTGCTATGGCTTAGGCTGCAACTCAGACCTTTGCTGGTCAATCTCTCTCCAACTATGGTTATTCATCTCTTCAGTATTGTAAAAAACAGAAGTTGCAACAGCAGCCAAGAGATGTAAGTATCTATTCAATAAATGTATGAAATTACATTAGATATAAAAATAATACAAAATGTCTCCATCTTTTAGGCAATACATTGTATAATGTGACATTGATTATTGATTTAAATTAGTAACTGATAATTTTCCATTCAGGATTTCAGTGCTTGAAACTGTGCAGATGACACTCAGTGGTGAAACCAAGGCAGAGATCTACAAAAATATGATCCTCTTCTTCCAAGGTTTTGTAATTCTGAAAATAGAAAATAATGCTTACAACAAAAGAAAAGGAGCTTATTCTGTTTGATATTTCTTGGTTGCTTTGGTACATTTTTAACATCAGTCTAAACATCTGAAAAATAGTACATTTCTCAGAACATTTAGTTGAAATGGCAAACTATGATTATCTGTAAAAACACAAAATCTTACCCAATATTTTTGGTCTAGTTTCTAGTGCTAATATCTTATTACACTTAAAATAAGAAAACTAACTTGCAGTTAACTTTTCAGCAAGATATAGGAGCTTGTTTTAAGTCAATAATACCATAATATTGATGGAAATGTAATTGAATGAAATAATCTGCCAGACACGACATTTTCCCATAAAAATAAAATGTCTTATTTCCCTGGCAGATAATTAGTAATTGTAATCATAGTGTTTATTATGATTCTTTCAAATCCTCTCCGCTATGACCTTACTTCATTGTAGAGACATCAAATTTGGTACACTTGTAGAGCTTCCCAAGACGTACACAAAATTCAATTAATGTCGTAGTGCAAGTCAAACAGGAAGTTGGCCATTTACAGCCTTCGCATTTGATTGAACTCCTCCTAGGGATTTCGATCGATCGGCTTCAAACTTGGTCAGATTGTTCATAAGGTATGGCTGATTAAAAGTTAACAAAACGGTGACTACTCAAAAAACTACTACACAAAAACAAGCAGAAGCATCAAATTTTCAGTGATTGATCATCATCGGGTGCCCTATAATACCAAATGGTCAATGATGACATCACTTAAGCCACGCCCCCTGAGAACAGGAAATGTCATGTTTTGCCATACGTTTGGCACTAAATTCCACAGTTTTGACCCGAGCTGCACCAAACTCACTGGGATGGATCCTTATCCCCCCCCACCCCGACAGGAATCCACAACAATATTTGGTGGGCGTGGCCTAATTTCTCTGCAGCTTTAAATGATCAGCCCCAAGCCATGCTTTATCCCAGAGTTATGAAACTTAGTAAACATGTATCTTCTCAGGACGTACAAAAAAAACTATCTTGCAGCCATGGTCCAAACCCAACAGAAAGTTGGCCATTTTGAATCAAAGCCACCAATTTCTCTTTTTTATAGATGTCGTATTTGATCGAACTCCTACAGCATTTGGCATACAGACTTCAAACTCACTCAGCACAGTCTTGAGGCATTGAAGGTCAAAAGTTCTAAAAGGATTTCTCATACATCAAAGCATGTAGGCATGGCTAAGGGTCACACTTTGACTATTCGCCATGAAACATCAAGGTTCAATAACTTCCACATGCAAGGTAACAGCTGCATCAGATTTTCTATGTCTCATTACAGACCAGTCCTGATAACATTCACATGTTCAATTGATGACATCACCTAAGCCCCACCCACTTCCGACAGAAAATCGCCTGTTTTTTTCTGCTGGATGTCTTACTTTTACTCTTTGATTCATATGGGTTTAAACCTGTTCCAAGTGACATAAAATGACATGATGAATTCTGTCAACGCTGGCTGCTGGCTGAACCGTGTGGGTGTGGCCGAATGGCGAATTTCAATCCCTCGCTGTTTGGATGCACTTGTCTATAAATCATACATACATCATCAGATTTGCACCAAACTTTACCCCAGACTTTTGTCAACCTGTAAGGAGCCCAATAGCATTAAATTGTAATTTGACTCCACTGCGCCCTCTAGGTTAATCCATCAGGTATATCTCCTTGCTGCATCAGCCGATCTGCACCAGATTTTTTGTGCATCATCAGGGAGCACTGGCAAATGCATCGGGTGGACGGTGGATGGGTGCGGGAACTGCGTGAGGCCTCTGCAGTGGTTGGTTGGCGGCATCGCTGGAAACCCTGCAGTCGCCACAAGGTCGGAGCGGCACTGAGGTGCAAGGGCCGTTCGAGGCTGCTTGCAGCTTTAATTTTATTTATAGCTGATATCTTTTCATCAATATTAAGGAAATGACTTAAAACAAACTCCCATTACTTTCTGAAAAGTTACTTGTAAGTTAGTTTTGTTTTGAGTGTACTGACATATTTGCACTAGAAACTAGATCAAAAATATTTTTTTTTTTTGGTTTTTGCAATGTGGATTATCTGCAGAATTTCCAAATTCATCTCTTGAAATAAAGACAGATCAATTAATACATCAATGCTCTCAGACACACAGCTCCAGGAATTCCGGTTTTTGGATAAACTATTCAAAATGTTTAGCAGTCACTGAAATTTGTACTCTAAAATGTTTCTGATTGGAACAACAAAAAAATCTCTAACAAAATAGAAAACAAGCAGATTTTTTCAAGAACAATGATTCTTGTGCTCATTGTTATAAAGTAACAATTGTCTTTTGCAGCAGCATAGCAATATCTCATGCATAAGAGGCAGGATATGATGCACAACCATCACCCTAATCTTTAGCTCTACCCCCAGACACTCAGATTTCAGTCAGGAGAACTCTGTCTGGGTTGCTTCTAAATCTTAAAATTATTTCTAGTTGGGAGAAACATGTTACTAAAATTAAAGTAGAACTTTAAACCTAAATCTGCTAGGGGTACAAATGATTTTCAATGTAATTGAATGAAAACTTCCAAAAGCTGTTTCAGCAGTAATACTTTTGTAGATTAAAAAGTATCACTTTTTCAAGCTTAAATAACAAATGGAATATCTGTCCAGTTGTGTAAGATTACCCATTTTGTTTATTATTGTGGTGCTACTCTCTTTTAGCCTCTAGTAGCTGGAGAGGAAAAAGAGCAAATGGTCCGACATTGGGATGCAAACCTGGGATAGCTACTTTAGAAGAAACAACTGGGTGATTTCCTGAACTTGATGAAAGTCATGAAAACCTGAGCTGAATTTTTTTTTTTAGAATTTCAGCTTAATTCTAAAAAAAATGCCCCAAAGCAACCACAACAGAAATAAAACTGAAAACTCTTTACTATCCACTGATGTCTTATTTGTACCCAGAATAAGATGCTTTACTTTGCAACACAGATCAAACGCCACTAAAGTGTTACAGTGGTGGAAGCTTTTACATCTTCCTGAAGAACAACTTCCTCAGCTTTGGCTTTCCTGATGTCCCATCATTCATCTCTCTTCTTCCACCAACACGCAAATCAGAGGTACATCTAAATATTTGAATATGAACAACATTTATAAACACAGATAAAAGGGAATGGATAGAAAGGAGATTTTTGGGGAAATTTTGTATACCAGTGACGTGCGGTCAGGGGAGGCAGGTGAGCCTGAGCCTCACCTGTCGTCATGAAAAAATATAAAATCATTTGTGACGGAGGAGCCGTCACGAGCCGGGACTTAATTAGGAGTCCATGTTAATATGCACACACACATACTCACAATCACTTACTTACTTCTGTTAAAGGTTAAACTGATGCGGTTCATCGTGGGTGCACACGCGGTGTTCCTGCTTCAGTTTGCATCCATCCTAACTTGTTTTCACTTCCAAACATTTTCCCAGTTTTTGTTTTCAAGCAGGGTGATTTCCGGTTGTGGCGCACCAGGACTCATGTGATGACGTCATCGGAGCATGCCGAGTGTTCTCTATTAAATTGATTATTGTATTTTTGATTACAAGTTTATTTATTTTCCTTATTATTATGATTTGTTTTGTATCCTTTAAGAGTTCATTTGAGTTAGAAGTAATTGTTTTGTTTGCTTGATTGGTCTTTCTGTGGGCGGAGCCTGTGGCTTTAAAAGCAGGGCTCTGCGCCACAGGGTGGCAGTCTGTGGCTAGACTCCTGCCAGATCACAGTGAAGGTGATGGACTCTTACCTTGAAGGTACTGTTGTTTTGTCTGTTTTTAACCTGCCTGGACGTCCCTGTTTATATATTCTTCACCTGCCACCTTTTTGCTCACTTGAAGAACTGAATATATTTCACTAAAGTGATCTCTGGCCTTGGGCAGTCATTTTTTTGTTTGTCCAAGCATAAGAGAACCCTGTCACATCATTTATATTGCTATTTTCACTTTGTGGTTTGTACTATAAAATACCTAGTTTTCAGAAACTAGGTACTATTATTTCAGAATAATAGTCTTTTTGCCCTCCAGTGTTGTCCGCATGCTCGAAATTTCCTTATGTAAACAATACCATGCAGGGGTTCTGTATTTGTAAATCTGACTATGATTAAGTCGGTGCCTCACCAGCTATGAACCTCACCGCACATCACTGGTTTATAGTACATACTTCTATATTAGGAATCCAAAAATTGACTCATTCCCGTAATCTAGCTAAATTAACTTAAGTGTTTTCTTCTGTTTTCAGCTCCTAAATACCATCAGCACCTCAGAGCTGAGTCAGTTCCTCAATCAGCCTGGCGCAATCAGTAACAGTTCAGACATCTGCATCATCTTCAGCAACTACAACAACACTCCCTCCTTCCTAGAAAACGTATGTTCCCATCTCAATTTTAAATGTGTAGTAATATCTATGGGTGAATCTGTTCTCCTCACTGTTTATATTTCTGTACAACACCTGCAGGAGGACGTCCCAGATGATGTGAGGAGGATCATCCTTCCCTGTGTTTGGCCTTTGGCTCTGAACAGCAACAGAAGATCTGAGGTTGATCTGTGGTTTAACGTACGTTTGAGGAACTATCTGAGGTTCCTCACCAAGGATCTCATCAGCTTCAACAAAGTGCAGAATTCCTCATGTCTCGCCTTCCAGAAACTGTAGGTTTTTCTATCACAATGTCATAAACATACCTAAAACCCAATCATGAACCCAACTTTGTTGTTGTCTGTACAACAGGGTGTTTTTTATGGGGAAAATCTTCACATACACCAGTTCTGAGTTTGGACAAGAAGATGTGTACACAACCATCAGGAGCTTCCTGAAAGCCGGTATGATTTAAAAACAAGTCTTATTATTATCCCTGAATTTTCACTCTGTTGGACAGTAAAGGATACTTCTATTTTCTTTAGCTCACAATCCTACATGGGATACAGAAAATAATTTGTCATAGTATAACAACAAACGTCTGTGTAGGATTTTTTCTGATGTTTTGGGACAGACCAATACAAAGGAGTGCATAATTCTAAAGTTGAGGAACATTGACGCAAGGTTTTCGTTTGTTTTTTAAATAGGGGTGAAGTGTGTTTGTATTTGACGCCCTATATGGTGACTCTCCTAAATAAAGCCTAACAAAAGGAAAAACTCCTCAGCCCCTTAAGGGGTTAAGGAGTTTAAGAAGTCTTCTATTTAGTAAGCCAAAACTGAGTCCACCTAAGTATAATTTAATCTGAATATAAATCCAGCAGATCCGTAACAAACCTGGGGTGTTAGATCAAGGGAGCGCTGTCCCTTTCATCTGACGCCTCACTGTATCTGCACCAATCTTTCTTTGGAGGTTGCCACCTGCAGTTAAAATAGGTAACGGCTTTCCACTCAGGAATAGGAGAGAGCGCATGCTAATCACGGAAAGTAGACTAACTTCCCATCATCAAAAGTCCAAAACCAACATGACTGTGTTAGTTTAATTTTCCTTTCCAACGATACCCACTTTATGTATATTGAAGCAAATAGAACACTTGAATTTTCCCAATAGCTTTCATAAAGTTTTTGAAAAGCCTGATTAGAACATATTATTTATGCTAATTTGAACACCTCTCCTGACACCGTGCTGAAACAATGTCCAAGGAAATCGGTTCGGGCCTTAAACTCTATGCTTTCTAGACATACCCGGTTTGTCAAAGGTTATTTTTTTATTTTTTTTGTAAATCATAAAAGTATCAAAACCTCCAAACAGATTGTTAAATAGCAAACGAATTATAAGAAATAAACCCAACAAAATGGGTATCAAAATAAAGATTAATTTGTGAGCTTTAATATTATACTGGTACAAAACCAGTAGAATCAATGTAAGTGACGCCCCACGCATATCAACACACAAACGGACCTCCACTAAGGGGTCCCTTCCAGCTTTCGCTCTTTCTGTAAGCTAAATATGGCTACGTGATTAAGCTAGCTAAAAACGAATAACCGGAGTTTAAGTTTCCAGTAGTTCTAAGAGCGGTGGAGTGAACCCCTCCTGAGGTTTTCATTGTGTGCACGGTTCTACCGGGGACGCTGTTTTAACAGATGTTTTGTGATTTTTGCAAACTGAAAAGCGGACAGATCGCCCGGCTGGCTGATCATGACACCCACCACATTCTGCCGAGCTCCACCGCGCTTCTCCTGAGTGCCAAGACTGCGGGAGGGGAAACCGGTTAAATCTAGTTGAAACTTTTTTAAAAAAAGAGGAGAAATTAAGCAAACATGGTCGCTTCACCTCCTCACCTGAACATGGGTTAACCCATCCTCCCCCTCCACACAGACATGTTTTGCTTCCCTGCCCTTACTATTCAGTATAATAACAAAACAGTGGATTAGATCCGCTGTTTTTATGGGCCACGGGAATTATGCATGACAACCTGTATTTGTGTGGTTTAGGTTTGTGCTGATTTTGTGCGATTTGTGCAACAAGTACATGATGTGCGATAGCAGATGTGCTCAGTGGGTTTCTGATATGGGAGGCATGGGCAATCGCCCAGGGCATCATCATGTGGGCGGCAGTGACTGTATCTGTACCAAAATAATAAATTCTGGACACTCTTTATGAAAAAATGTACTTTCTTTGGCACTTTTTCAGATGGTCGGCAGTAGAGAATTTTCCCTAAAAGAATTCTAAAAAAAAAATCTCTATTTTCTGCCAGCTATATAAATTCCGCACCCCCCACCACTAAAGATAGCCATAAATAAATGTTTCTATTTAATGCAACAGCCTTATTGACATCTAGGAAGGAAGTTTCAATTAAATGCATAAAAAAATAAACATTTTGGTGCAAGTCAAAAATACTCTAAAATTAGGATTTTCTTTTCTGTTTAAATCAAACAAAAAGTCCCTATTTCCTACCAGCAATGTCAAGAAAACTATTAAAGATGGCCAAAAATGGATGCCTTTATTTTATTCAGCAGCCTAATTTATCTGTAGTAGAGACGTTTTATTGAAATCTGATGAAAAATACAAATTTGGGGAGTTGTCAAAAAATACTAAATTTTGTTGATTTTTTGAATTTTTTTCCGTCGGTCAAATTAGCTTTGGAAGCATTTTTGCGGCCTAATAAATCTTTACTAAACAGTTCCAACCACTACAAAAAATTGAGTTGAGACCGCACAGCAGGCTGGGCAAAATAGCTTTTGGGACTTGGTGCCAACATATATTTTTTAATTTTTAATATGGTATCCCAAAAATGCCATGTCTGCTTTTAGGGTCAATATTGAAATTTGTTTTATTTTTCAAAATGACATTTTTTTAAAGAATCTTAATTTTTAAAGTAAGTTATTTATACTGTGCATTTTCGTGTTTTGCAATATAATTTATATATATTTAAAGAATGTCATTACAAATAAGTGTCAAATTGATTTAATTTCTTAGTACCGTATTTTCCACACTATAAGGCACACCGGATTATAAGGCGCACCTTCAATGAATGGCCTATTTTAGGGCTTTTTCATATATAAGGCGCACCGCATTATAAGGCGCATAGAATAGAATAGTTTGGGTTGCCGATTTGTTCCATACTCTATATTATTTCACATCCACATTTGTAAAGAAAGGTGGGTTTGTGGTACACCTACCCCCCACCCGAAAATCTCAAAAACAGTTAAACATAATGGGTTAAAAAAATTCTGGCCTTTTCTGGTAATACACTTAATAGAAAAATGAATTTAGAGTACTAAAAATCTAAAGAAATAAAAACTGACTGCCGGTACCTAGCTAAAATAATTTTTGGGCAATTTTGAGATCTTTGCCAACTCATTCGGGGTAGGAGATGGACAGAGAAGAGCACGACAACACAGGTGGGCAGTTGGACGAAAGATAGGAGCACAGCTCCATACCTTAACATAAAATAAGAGGGAAGGCAGGTCCTAAAATAGTCTTTTTTTCCTGAAATAAGCTCACCCACTGAAGGTTGTAGAGAGCTGCTCTTTGGTGTGCTAGTAGAGGCCATAAGTGGGATGTAAAGCGACAAGTCTGTTGCAGAAGGGCCAAACCATCTGAGAGTTATTAGATGCCAAAGTCAGGAATCTGTCATCTTCTCCCCCCACCATTTCACAGCCTTAAGTTGCAAAGTTGCCACTGAGGGCTAGTTTTTCTAGGTACGACATGTCAAACCACATATCCAAAAACTGGATTATCAGGGTTGTTTGTCAGCTACATAGGCAGATTTGTACCACCCAGTGGAACCCTGACTGCAGTTTGGAAACCATTGGTTTATAACAAAAATCCCAGTAAAATATATTACGTTTTTGCTAAAGGCATGTGAAAAGTTTTAAAGCAAAATATGCAAATAATTAAGGCGGGTAGAAATATGCATTGCAGTGATGTGCATCTCTTCGTCTTCAGGCTCTGGAGCCAGATGCTACAATCCCAGCGATCCAGAGCTGAATTCTACCTCCTGGTTTGTCAGCTACATCGGCAGCTTTGTTACATTTATCACTCTGGATGATCTCACCAGCTTTATCTCCATCTCTCAGGTGTTTGTCCATTCATAATTAAAGAATATTGAATAATGTATGAAAGTTTTGTAAATCTTACCAAAACCCATTTTCCACTTGGAATTACAAGAGGGAGGAGTAGGAAAAATGAACTGTTTGGATGAAGCCTGGTGCATTTAGCTGTGCAAAGTAATATCTATGTTGCATGGTAATCGATGTTTATACATTTAAAGCTGGAGATATTCCTGGAGGATAACTCTAATCTGGAACTCTTCAACAACACAGCCATCTCTAAATACGTAACAGGCTACTACATCACCCAGCTCTATGCATTCAACCCGAACTTCAGTCTATTCAAGTAAGTTTTTATCACTCTAGCTGAAAAATATACGGCAATGTTGATCAGATCAGGTTTCCATGTCGATATGTGCTTAATTACTCATCCTTTCCCTCGGATGAATAAAAATCCACCTTTCATTCAGGCTTCCAGGCTCTTTATTATGTTCCTCTGACATCCCAAGCTCAGTATTTTCCTCTCTTACTGAATCTGAGACGATGGTCATCTTGGAAAAACTGAAGACATTCTGTAATGGAACAGAAGATCCTGAGGTACCAGATCTAAAAGTTTCTACATAGAAATATTGTTTGCTTCAACAACGTTTTTCCAGCTCACTTTAATTCAATTTGTACAGCAGTAAGTGACAGCAAATATCATCTTCATGTCCTTCACTAGACAAACACGTTTGACTCACATGAAATTTTAATGAATCCTTGGGTTTTAAACAGTACAACAACATTAAGCTAATGCATCCACAATATTATATTCAACAGGTATCTGCAGCTCTGACATCCACCATCAAGACCTTCACAAAGGAAACCTTTGAAGAACTTGGCAGTGCCTCTTCAGCACTAACCAAAGACCAGATTCTTACAGTGTCCTCTTCAGTGCTCATTTCCTCTTTGTCCACCCTGGGCTCAGTGAAAAACTGGGGCCAGGACCGGGCCACCACTATCATCCAGTCCATCACCTCCTCAGGATTTCAGGTAAGTTTAGCTGTTTTCTTCAGCTTTCCTGAAACACTTCAGGTATTCAATGATTGGCTGCATAAATGTTAACCTGAATTTGTTATCAAAATCTATGATCATTAGTTTCTAGTTATTAGAACATGGTTTTAATGGGTTTAATAGATAAAACAATGTAACTGACAGGTCAACAGCGCAGCCTCTCTGGAGTCCCTGGGAACTCTTGTTGTTGGACTTCACTCAGAGTCAATTCAAAAGATCTCAGCTTCCGAAATACTCAGCGCCTCCAAGAAGCCCAACGTCGTTTCCAACATGCTGGAAGCCTCAAAGGTTGTCCAGGAGACTTTTGTCAGAAAGGTAACAAAACAAACATGCCCTTAAATTCAGTAGTACTGAATGAACCAGACAAATAGCAATGACATCTACTGACCTACTTGTCAGATCATTTCTGTGGACCCAAATCCAGTTAAATTGGTGGAGAATGTCCCTGATGTCCTAGCACATGAGATCCCACCTTCACTGCTGGTGTTTTCTGAGAGCACAGTCAACATCAGCATGATTAACAAAAAGTCATGGACTCCAGATCAGGTCAGTGATTTGTTCTGGTTTTAGACAGATAAAAACTTGATGCTGTGAGATATTTTAATTAATATGCCAGAGATCACCTGCCATGTTTAGTATAATAATATTTCTCACATATAAATCTTGTATATAAATCTTATATAAGATGTTATATAAGTTTTATATATAACATCTTATATAAAGACTCGACTCCTGTATTACTCTTTACAGTCCGCCATGTTTATTTGGACATTGGGTGAATCAGGCTTTGACATCGAGCAGTAAGTAACCAACACCTGCAGCTATTTGTCATGAGAATTTCCACCTTTCCATGCATTAAACTCTGTGCTTTTCTGTTTTCTCTCTGCAGGCTTTCACCGTCTGTGCTACAAGGCTTCAGTTGTTCATCGGTTCAGAAAATGTCTAAAACCAAAATCAAGCAGATGATCCGTGCCTGTCGACCGAGGAAAGGCAGAGCCAAAGTGGACCTGAAGGAACCTCAGGTAAGTTCTGCAAGTAAAACAATTTATGGAAATGAGACACTTAAAATTAAATGGTTGAAGGCTATGAAAGTGTTTGTTTTTTTTAAACCAATGACCACCAGTTATGTATTCAAATTTGTTTAACATAAACATTTCAATTTATGAAAGTAGTAAGAGCAGAACACTGACACATCAACCTTCTCACACTGTGACCTCCAGCTGACCTGCATGTACAACCTGATCCGTGGCGACCTCTCTCAGAACTTCACTGATTACCCTTCGGACATGCTTCTCTACTTGGAGTGAGTCTCTCTCCACGTAATTATTGTAACTATGTTGCCAGTTGTTTGAAAAAGTTATATGATGATTTTGATTTTTTACAACAATCCCCACCAACAGCTCCGAAAATGTCCAGAAAGCAAACTGCAGGTCCTACTTCTCTGCCCTGGGTGCTACAGACTTCTCTGTGGCCTCCAGCATCTTGAACAAGGGCCCAAAGAAGTTCAGGGAAGCTAGAGACTGCTTGGTGAGAGCCAATAAAACAGAGAATCAATATACAAAGAGCCTACCTGCAGCATATTACACGTGCCTCAAATTACTCTTCTACAGCAGAGTAATGAAACGTCTTCACTGATTTGAACATTTTTCACTGTTTCAGGGGATCAGTGGTGTCAGCCTGAGCAGAGACAATGTGGAGGTCCTGGGGAACATGGTCTGCACTTTGGATAGATCTGACATTGAGAACTCGGATCCTCTCATCCTGGAAAAACTCAAAGCCTGCAAAGACCTCTCTGCCAGCCAAGTGGCTGCTATGGAAACACTGCTGCTGTCTGGGAAAACACAATACGGGTACTAAAAGCAAAACCATTCATTCCATTAAACAAAAATCTCTGCAAGTTCTTCACATTTTTTGGGATTTTCTGACCTTCTATTTGTCAGACAAAACTGATTTTATCCCAAAGGAGAAAATTAGTCCTCCTGCCCCCTAAACAAGTATTGTACAAAATCATTGAGATAAAGATCTACACAAAAATGTATCCATTACCTATTTAAAATATTTGCATCTATATGACAACGTATATATTGTCTTTGATTTTTAGATATGTAACCAACTGGGACCAGCAAACACTGGAGGATCTCAAGATACTTCCCCTCTACTTTACAAGAACCTTCTGGGACCGGTTTACAATTGTGTGTTTTTATCCCCTTGGTTCCTTTCATGAAAATTAGTCTCATATTTTTTGAAAATGACTTCTAGATTGTTTTATTCTGTAACATTTATAAAAAAATTTTTCAGTCAACAAAGAAGAAATTCCTTAAGGGTTTTCTTCCAGACTTAAGGAAACAAAATCCACACAAGAACAAGCTGAAGTATCTCTTCAAACACATCAACCCAGTTTTAGTAACACAAGGAGAAGGTAAATTCTACTACTACTAAGAATAATAAGAGTAATGGTGAATTCCTTTGCAAAGCCTATGGCTATATAAACATGACTAAAAAAATTAATCCTGAAGAGTCAATTATTGACAAAAGGATAAATTAGATATCATGAAGAAATCACTAACAAATGTATTTCCTGCAAGAAATGAATTTCTAACTACACAGTAGCCTAACCAGCTCTCTTGTCGTTACAAGGATGCACTGAGGGCAACATCACCCAGGTGACTGTTAGCGACCCGTCTTTCCCCTTTGGCTACGACGTGACGCAGTTCAACCTCTGCCTGGACATTTCCGTTCTAAAAGATAACCTCTACACTATCTGCCAGAAAGTGGATGACAATGACTTCCAGAAAATCATTCTGAAGAAGCTCAACCAGGTAACTTGGGAATATGTGGTGGTTTGGTCAAACAGTGCTGTGCGCTTTATGACCTGGAAGAAGCTTTGCGACTAACGGACCCAGTAACCATCCTGAGATGGAAGGCATTTCATCAGGCTGTGACACATTAATGAGCGTCATATTATTTTCATTCATTTGAGTTCATATTCAACACTTTGCTCTTATAATTTCATAAACTACTTCCAGGCATTCCCATCTGGAGTTCCTGATCAGGAAGTACAGATGCTTGCTTCAGTCTCTCGCTCAGCAACACTTGATGACATCTCTAAGTGGAACATCACTGAACTGGATACCTTGGCAGCTCTGATGAATCCTGAAGATGGAACATGGGAGACGGCACAGGTATCGCGCACCGTAAACATTACCAAAACTTTCATTTGACTGGAGTGGAAACTTGATCAGTTTTTCTTTATGTTGCATTTAGAGCAAAGCAATCATCACCAAGTACCTGAATGCCTCTGGAAATTCACTGGACAGCAGTGAACTAAACATTATTGACTCCAACTTGTGCTCACTGGACATCAGCACGTTACAGACCATCACAGCAGACAGCATGAGGTTGGTGTCAGCATGGATATAACAAACATATCCACTGTGGTTGTTAAAGTAACACTGAATGCCTCTTTATCTGTTGTCAGAAATACCAAGCATCTGGATGTGGCATCATGTTCAACTGAGCAGAAGAGGGTCCTCTATGAGATCAGCAACACCTCCTTCAGCGTCCATAGAGATAATCCGATTAACTATTACAACCTGGTTAAAGGCTATCTAGGTGAGATTAGATACTCACTATTATCTAATTATCCAAATAAGAATTGCTTTTTAATTTTGTCAATCATTTCTTTTTTGAAAGGTGGAGCATCTCTGGTTGATATAATATCTTTGTCAAAACAAAATATAAGTATGGATGTGAAAACCTTCATGAAACTAAACATCAATGTTATAAATGTAAGTATAAACAAGAAAGAAGAACTAGCTTTAGGTGAATTCTTTGGACAATTATAAATGTTCTCATATATTCATAAACATATATTTTATCTGCTGAAAAAATTTTTTTTCCAACATTTAATTTTTCTAAACATACAGGATTTAACGGCTTCCAACGTCCAGAGACTCATGGGGGAACATTTACCGGACCTAAAGTTGTTTGAGAACAACACTGTGATTCAGATGTGGGTAAACATGCAACAACAATCAGATCTAGACAGAATGGGTATTGGTCTATCTACCAACAGCACAATCCCTCCAACTACAACACCCACCCAGAAAAGGACTTTTACAAGTGCTGGAACACGTTCTGACACGCAAACAATGACATCCCTGACCAGCTCTGACATACCAGCACATACAACCATATACAGTTCAACCATTCATACTGGAAGCACCTCATGGAGGACAACTAACACTGTAACCAGTGCTGGAACATCAACAGGTAATTCTGTAACTACTGTTGGAACAACAACTGTGAGTGCCGAGTCTACTCTGTTCACAACAGAAGCAAAAGTTTCAAGCAGTACTGGAACTTCAACGCAAGATGCTGGAACAATCACAATCTTAGAAACAACTGTTGGAACAAGTTCCTTGATATCAAAAAATAACATGGCAACAAGTGCTGGGACATCAACAGGAGATGCATTGACTAGAGGAATAACAGAGGCGTCCTCACAGGGGGTTTTCACTGCAACATCATCATCAACAGGTGCTCCAACTGACTCTTTGACAACATCTCCAGATGATGAAACTACCACTGGCACAAGAATGCCTTTTCCCACAACCAGTTCTGGAACAATGATGCCTGTAGTTACAACTACTAGTGGGATGTCAACAACTAGTGCAGCCACAGGAAGTGAGACTCAGTCCGCTCTTAAAATCAGTGCTACCACAACAACAAAGCAAACTTTAACCAGTCCAGAACTATCAAACACTGCAACCAGTGCTGGAACATCAACAGGTAATTCTGTAACTACTGTTGGAACAACATCTGTGAGTGCCGAGTCTACTCTGTTCACAACAGAAGCAAAAGTTTCAAGCAGTACTGGAACTTCAACGCAAGATGCTGGAACAATCACAGTGATGGTGACAACTGATCGAACAAGTTCCT